TTCTTCCCTGGCCACAAACCAAAGCACATGTCTGTGGCCTATTAGGAACCAGGTCGCACAGCAGGAGGTGTGTGGCTGGCAAGTGAGAGGAGCTTCATCTGTGTTTTCAGACACTCCCAATCACTCGCATTACCACCTGAGCTTTGCCTCCTCTCAGATCAGCAGCGGCCTTGATTCCCGTAGGAGTGCAAACCCTGTTGTGAACCGTGTATGTGAAGGATCTGGGTTGCACGCTTCTTATGAGAATCTAATGCCTGATGATTTGTCACTGTCTCCCATCACCCTCAGATGGAACCATCTAGTTGCAGGAAAACAAGATCAGGGCTCCCACCGATTCTACATTATGGCGATTTGTATAATTATTTCATTATGTATTACAATGTAATAATAACAGATATAAAGTGCACAGTAAATGTAATGCACTTGAATCATCCTGAAACCATCCCCCACACCACTTCTGGTTCATGGAAAAATTGTCATCAATGAAATTGGTCCCTGGTGCCAAAAATGTTGGGGACTGCTGTAATATACAATACACATTGTTCTGCACCATTCTTCTTTCCCTTAAAATATATCATAGAAATAATTTCATATTGCTACTCCTACTTATACTTTATTCATTTTAATGGCTCCATGGCATTCCACAGTATAAATTTAACATATTTTATTTAACCAGTTAGCTTTGGTGACATTTTAGCTCAGTCTCAGTCTTTTGCTATCATAGAATAGTGCTGCAGCTAGGATCCTTGTCCATGTATTATCAAGTATATGTGACGATATATATGTCCAGGTCTTCACATTCAAAGTCGTGATTTATTTTTACTAAAACTGGGTAAGCAATGGGGAAAAAATAACCAAGTAGCATAGGAGGCATGGTAATAATAATAATTGAAAATAGTTTCTACTATATGGGAAGTAATTTATAAGTATACATTGAATTCTTATAAATCTGGAGACTATATTAATTACTATTATTATTGTCATCGTTATTACTGATTTAAGTGAGAAAGCTAGGATATGAATTCACCCAAGAAGCTTGGCTTTCGATCCCTTGCTCTTGTTTGCTAGACTGTTTCTTGGTGATTCTGTTGCTACTTTGGCAACGAGAGTGCATTTATTGGCTATCTGCCATGTGCTAAGCAGATGACATGTGTTAGTCACAGTCTTCATGACAGAACCATGAGATGTTGTTGTTGTTTAACAGTCTTAATAAGGTTTAGTATCTTGTCCAAAGTCCCAGAGCTAGCAAGCAAGGAGGTAGGAATGACCTGAAGGCAGGATGTCTGACTCTTGAGATTAAGGCACAACAGAGAAGGGAGTTTCAGGTATTGATTCAACATCTAGCAGGCTGGAAGACAGAAAGAAAACTAATCTACATATGAGACTTAATTAAACATATTGAAGTGATAAGAGGGATAGGAAGGGCTGTCACAAGGACCAATGAAAAACAGTTGGTGGCACAACAATAAAAGCATCTGTAGCGGAGAGGAAGGCTTAGTGGTCCCTGTGGATCCAGAATGGAGTCTTCAGGGGAAATGTTTCCAAATCTAGATTGCTTTGTTCTCACCAACTACTTCATCCATTAAAACATTCCACACCTGTACATTGTATTTATACCTTCAACAACTCATTGTGACATGGTACTTGCATGCCCTAGAGAAAGAACAGCCTTAGATGACTGCTCTGAGTTGGACTTTGTGGCCATAGGGAGCAAGTGCCCACATTAGAAAAAAGTAAGAGTGCCGAGAAAAATAGAGCACTGAGATTCTTCAAGGCAATGCCAATTTCTCCAGGTCAATTTCTTGTATTTTAATCTCTGTTTCCAGCAGTTGTGCATCTTTGTAGGTGTGCCATAAGCAGCCATTAAAAAAGGCAAAATTGTTAAGACCTACAGGTCTAGTAAAATTATAAGTCATGTAGATCTTATACAAAGTATAATTTTAACTGAAGTCTTCTATAGCTGTTGGTTATTATTATTGCTGTTATTATCTTATAAATCAATTTTAGTATTTAGACCAAGTTTCTGTGTTTGGCCTCTTAAGTTTTGAACACTGAATTTTCCTTGTTTCAGAATATCTTATTTAATGCAGTGAAGTTTTGGTAATATATAATAGAAAAAAATAAAAGGTGTAGCACAAATATGCCAGAATTATTTGTATGCTGGTTATAATAAAAATAATAACTAAGATATATAATGAGTGTTTCCTGTGAGTCAGATAATATGCAGTTTTATATACATTATGTAGTTTAATATTAAGAACCTGTCAGGTAAGTATTACAATTATTATTATTGTTCCCATTTTATAGATGGGGTCTTTTATTCTACATTTTGAGAGTAACAATTAGAATGGCACTAAAGCAAACTTTTGTAAAAGAAGAAAATATTTTCTAATTCTACAAAACATAGTTTCTAGTTTAACACTTCTCCGTCTTTCTTCAAATATACTCAGTAATCAATATGTGTACAATTTTGTATTCTGCTTTTTAAATTCAGTATAGTCATAAGAAGTTGGTTTTATCTGCCTTCCTTATTATCATATAATGACTGCCTATGATTAGTTGCCAAAATTTACTTATTAATTTCTTTTTTTGGAGACATTGTTTCCATTCTCTCTTATAGATATGATTGCAATGAAAAACTTTGTGTACTTAGCATATTTTATTCTCTGGGAATTTCCTAGGAAGATGTTCCCTCTAGCCAAAGAGCAAAGATCTTTCTGACTCATTCTAACTTCCTGAGTCAAAGTCATTTTCACAGGAACAAATAGTGAGCATTATTAATGCTTATTTTAAAATCTTAAAAGAAATGTCTACTTTGAACTCTTTAGGAATAAACTCTTTCCAGTATTTTAAAGATATAATTTTGAATAGATATGTTATTAATATATGGTAATCCATATAAAACCTAAAGAGTGAATTTTTGCATCATTTAACTTTAAAAGTAGGTGAATGGGCTGAGGAGGATGATATATGCAAGGTAAATATTTATTCTTCATTGACATGTATTTCCTGAGAAACTGCTCTTTGCCAGCCCATATAGTGGTTGCCAAGGCTATGATAATGGATGGGATACAAACAGCTCATCTCCAAATAGAACATCACTGAAAGTCATATCACGGATTCTTTGTCCTTGACATTGTGCCACAGCGTACTCTTGTCCTGACATTTCTGATTTCTTTGTTCTTTTGCTTGTATGGAATCGGACTCATTTCTTACTATCAGCCCAAAACATGAAGGATAAAGAGTATCTTACTCTCAAAAAGATATCTTTATCTATATAGATACATAATTTTTAAGAATTTCTAAAATCATGTTTTCTTTCTCCCATGCCAGCTCTGGTGGGACTTTAGAAACCCTTTTGTCTTCCCAGGATGAAAGTATCTTGCTTCATAGTTTTAGGAATCCCTAAATCGTCTCATCTTCATTGTAGGTATCTTAGGTTGTGTCTACATACATTTATCGGTTTATCTTTGCAGCGCTTTAAGCTAAACAGAGATTTTGGGTTCTCCATGGCAGGGAAGTCCTCATGTAAAAATAAAATGTAATTTAGGATGTGTATCATGAATTATTAATATAGTGCACCATAACTGCGTTTTCACAGATAGAGGTAAAACATTTTAGGTTGTGTTCAGGAGCCAAAAACACATAATTCTTAGGTAAAATCAACTTCAGAATTACATTTCAACTTTTCTATAAATTTCTCCATCCCAGAAAGACTTACTAATTTGTTGATAAATAGAACTTTATTACTGTATGATACACAATTCTCTTTCAAATTCTGCTGTGCAAACTTTTTATTTTGTTGATACTCAAACACTTCAGTGGTAATTCTTTAGTAAAAATTGCATCAAGGTAATGGCTTACCATGTAGATCAAGCCCTTTGCTGCTCCATTGGATGCTTTGCTCTGAAAAATACTGTTATAATATTTAGTAGGTATGTTTCTACTCATTACCTAATATATATTGAAATTTCAGTAAATTCATTATGCATGTGTTGTGTATATAGATCAACCAATACATACACACTTACATATGATTTCAGTAAACTGACTTTTTGAAGGAAAAATTTGTATTAATATAATGATATCTTCCCCAGCTTAAATTTGCATGTTATTTTTAGCTAACATGCCTAAATTAGTTTTCTCACATTATTATATAAAAATATGATTTGAACTTTTAGGAAAGATAAGTTTCAAGAATTGGATTTTATAGAGTACTTGTCTTCACAAAAAAGGGATAGATGGAGATAATTTCCTTTTTTAAAAAAAATTCATTTATTATACTTTAAGTCCTGGGGTACATGTTCAGAACATGCAGGTGTGTTACATAGGTATACACGTGCCGTGGTGGTTTGCTGCATCCATCACTCTGTCATCTACATTAGATATTTCTCCTAATGCTAATTTCATAATGTCAGAATACTGATTCCACAGGTTGACTTGGGCTACCTCATTGTGAAACTGGCTCTGCCAGATAACAGTCGACTCATGGGCATCACCAACATAGCACAGAGGTAGAGAAGAAAACATTAATACAAGGGCATCTGAAAAAGGAGCTTTGATCGATTTTTTAAAACTTTCCTTAAATTTCTAATATCCTGTAGCCTTAACATTGGGATTGAAGTCCTCCCTGTTGCAACTTAGCACATACCCTGCTGTCTGAACTCAAAACCCTAGGAACTACTGAGATTTGAATGTATTCTTGGTTCCAAATCAATCTTGTCACTCCTTGGAAAGCAATGCAAGATAATAAGTAGTATTCACCTGATTGCTTTCCTGCTCTGAGACAGCTGGTGACGCGTGTCTTCCTGATAACCATGAGTTTCAGATCTAAGGCAGGGATAAAGGGAAACTGGAAGCTCTCGGAATCTAAATGTGACAGTCGACGGCTGAGGAGAGGGTCAGAAGGAATAGAATCTGTGACACGTATGAGAAAGGAACAAAATTTATCTGCTCTGGTTGCAATGATTAGATGTCTCTTTGTCTGGCTTTCCTTACAGTGGGTGACTGATCGTACCCGCCAGCTGGCTAATGTCATAATTAACAAAGTTGCTACTACATCTGCAAAGTTTAATCGAAAAATTTGCCAGTGATACGATGGCATTGTCTCAGAGATCACAAGGGACATGGAGTCGACTTTTGCTCAAGGTGGAACGACAGAGCTGTGTAGGCAAGATGAGAAATTACGAACTTGTTCGGCCAAAGGTATGTTTCTTTCATAATTCCACATCCTAGGTTTTCTTACTAAGATTTTTGTTTGATGGTTCATGGTTTCCTTTTTTGTTTCTTGACCGAATTGAGTCAGAAGAAGATCCAGATGCTTTTTGGGCATTTACAGCATATTCTCTGAAAGCTTTTTATTTTTCCTAAATCTGTAAATTTATAATATAACTAAGCAGCTTTTGATGATGAAAATGGAATATAAGGCAATAGTTTGCTTGTTGGGTCTAGCTAATCTTTGTCAGTTTTCCGAATAAGTATTTGGTAACAGATATCAATGGTACATTTAGATTGTGTAGCATCGGATTTATTTTGCTCAACAATGTAAAAGCCGTTGCTCTGCATTATTCTATTGTGTCAACCTAGTTCTAGGACAGGAAAAAAAGCAAGTGTAGTTGTGGAATATGTAGAAATTCTATTTTAGTTTCAATATGTGCTCAAAGGAAGGCTAAGGTCTTGACTTTAAGTTGCACAAAGTAATTGGGGCTTTTTAAAACAACATTTATAAGGATGACTATCTCTTGAAATTATGTGCTATTCTCCACGGTCAGTCTGGTCATAGACTATTTACGTGCATTTTCTTTTTACCTTGATTTGCTTTGCTTGATTGAGTATTCAGGCTTTGAGGAGTCTCCCAAACCATAGCCTTCCTGTATTGCTAATTAATGAATGTGAATATTGATGAGGAAGGGCACACATGTCTGTGTATGTGGCTGTGCACTTAATCTAAGTACAAAGAAGGAGGAAGAGGTCTCAAAAAATATGCAGAAAGCAAGTTTGGGTTATTTATGCCATGTCACACCACTGTTACAGTACCTAGGCAATCAATTTACAATATAATTGGGGACATGCATTAAGGTTCTTTCCCTCCGTGGTCATCCGAGCCACTATATCACGGCAAAATGCAATAATTTGTCTTTTGCCTATTACTATTGTGGTTTGTGTTCACAGCAGTTTTTAAATGTCATGAAATAACATTTTGGAAACAAATTTCGCACAGCATGTATATTTTAATAAGCTCATTTAAAGTTTCTCATGGTTTTATTTCTAATCATGGGAGACTAGATATTATCAATATATTCATTTTAAAATTTGAAGATCACATTTTATATACTCAAATAAGAAATGAATCATTTTATGAGATTATGAATTTTAAAGCCTTTGGGTGTCCAGATAATTTTAAACACTGTTTATCAAAATTTTGGTGGAAATTTGACTTCACACATTTCTAGCCGTCGCTAAAATTTAATGACATTGATAAGAGAAACTGGAAGTGGAGATTTAAATCATTATTTTATTATATTCTGGACACAGTTTTTACAGGAGAATGTTATTCTTGTGATAACTTTGTTTCTCTTCTTTAACTTTGATTCCCTACCCCTAGCCCAATATCTGGCACATAATAGGCATTCAGTAGGTATTTATGATGAATAAATCAATGAATTTAAGTATTTCCACTGTTATTCAAAGATGGTTGACGTTTGCTTCCTTCAAATCTGTAACTTCTGTATGCAGCAAACATTGTGAATAGAAATAAGTAGATGAAAGGCACAATCACAGACAATAGGGAGGATTAAGTTCCTAAAATCATATATTGTTATTTTAATCTAAACCACCATAATATTTTGTGTAATTGAGATTTGGTATTGTCAGAAGTCTGTTGGAGTATTGAAGGTCTATGAGGATTAGAAAGTGCCCAGAAAGTGGTTCACAGCTGATGTCCCGTTTTTTTTTTTTTTTTTTGCTTGTTTGTTTGCTTTGTTTTTAAACAGGATTATCTCCTGAGATGTGTAGAAATGAACTGTTGTCAGAGTTTCAAAGGAATTAATGTTTTTTGGTAAAATGTGCTAATGTAAAGAGTTAGAAGATTAGTGACACATAAGGAAGGCAATGCGTTCTTTCGCATGGAAATAGGAATATAATAAATGTCCTGCAGGTGACTGGGGCTGTAGCAATTTTATTGAAGATTAAAGTTTGATTGACCTTTGTTAGGGTGATTCACCCTTCTGAAATTAAAAGCCAGAGCTGAATTATTCTGCTCAATTTAAATGCAAACATCGAGCAGGTCCTATGTCATTCAAATAATAATAAGAAGAAAACCTTCCTATTTTAATTCTCATTTTTGCACCTCTGAGTGGTATGCTGCTTTAGAGGGACCGTAGCTCTGACAAAGGCATCCTGGTGGCAGAAAATATACAATAACGTTATAGATAATTGGGAACATATAGGAAGAGTTCCAAGCACTACTCTCTGCATTTGAAACATCTTAAATCACCATCCCAACAAAAGCAGGGAGCATGAAGCCAATCTCTGCACACTGAAAATGCATGCTCCCAATAGAAAAACAACCTAGGGATGTCCTGAAGGGGTTAGGAGTAAGTGACAATGGCCTCTCTATTCTAATTTAGTGCCAACCGCTAACACTGCAGATCATATCCATGTTAAATCTACATGATGTCTCCTGAAAATGCGTGCTGTTTGGTACAGTTGCTTATGAAGCAATTTCTAAAAGTTGATTATTTCTGATGTCTGGAATTTCATTCTCCATGATCTCTGATAGTTTCTGAATGTATTCAGTACTTTCATTAAGTTCAAAAATGCTATAGGAGACGCTAACTAATTATTTGCAATGCCATTTAATGGTTTATTTTTATTTTTCTTTGTTACATTTTCTAAGCCTTTATGAGTAGTTGTGTATTCACATTGCTTCAAAAACTGTTTCCATTTTTCTTATCATATTAATTTTTTTTAGTTCTAAGTCAGTGAATATTTTTAGTTTTAGTTTCCATCATATAGTGAATGCGTCTTCCTTTTATGTGTCTGTGAACTATTAAAATGATAATAAAGGTTCTCTTCCTTCCACATGTAATTTATTTCTCTCTTTTCATCAAAGAATTCACTCTGAATCTGTCAAGGTAGAAAAGTCCAAGGCATTATAGTGTAAAAATTAAGAAGCCTGAGGTGCTATAGTTTATTTTTACGCAAGCTTTTCATGTATTCTTTTAACATCCTTCTGAAAGATAGGCTTCTACTCCAAGCCTGTGAAGAAAGTCAAAGATGAAAAACTTGTGATAGAGTGACTGAGATTATTCAGCGGGCAAAGTCACTCTGGCATCCTCCAGAGAGCTGAATAATACCTTGAAGCATATATTAATAATATGTTTAACTAAGATCTGTTTGCTGTACGGATAATTTCCTAATTCTTAATTGTGGGACAAGTATTCAACCATGAACTGTAAACAAATACGCTGTTCTGTACCTTGTCTGATAAAGTGTAGATTATCAGTTTTAGCTTCAGTACATTGAATTGTTAAACTTTAAAAAACTCAGTTGTTTCATGATAAGACTTGTTTTCTTGTTAAAGACAATTTTAACCTAAAAGATAAACATGACCACTAAATTATATCTCTAAAATATAAACACTATTAATTCTTCAGACATAATTTTATTATCTTCTTTAATTTGGATTAATCTTATTTTACCTCTTACCAGAACTAAATAAAAATAATCATCAGTATTAAAATTTGCTATAAATACAACATTCTCTAAAGTACAAAAAGCTAATGTGCTGAACTACATCCTTCTCTACACTGTCATTAACGATTCGCAGTCTTTTTATTCAAGAAAATCATGGGTTTGGAAAGTGAAATTCATATTGTCTCAGTGTAGAAAAAAGTGTTGGTGAAAGAGCAAAGGAAAATAAGATTATATTTTGCTAAATCCCAAATCCAGTAATTTATTTTGCTTCAGTGTTCTTCGAAGACATTTTATTTCTATATGTTGCATTTGTTTTCTATCAATCGATTTCTATCTAATCCACCCAGTCCCAGTCCTGACATTTTCTCTTATAGTTGTGAAATAACATTCTTTGTTATGAATAAGCCAAGATTAATCCATTTGATATTTCATAGACTGCATATTTTAGCTGGCATACTTCTGTTTAAAAAGCAGACTTTTAAAAAGTGACTAATGGTGTTATTTTATTGGTTATGCATTGTTTATGAGTCAGCAATTTAGTTAAATATTACAGAAATTTAGAGTAGATGTATTATGAGCAATTTTATTCTGCTAGACTAAGAAGAGATAGTATCAGATTCAAGAATTTTCTAGTTTTTTAAAATTATTCATGGTAAAAAAGTAGTCACATATGAATTTTCAAGATTATCCTCTTTAACAGACAATAATTTTAAAATAAAATATTTGATTGATAATGGCCAATGAAATTACTTCTTGTAATTTGTTTAATACAATAATAATAAATGCTCTAGAAACAATAAGTGTCCCATTGTTAACTTTCCAACTTAATTAGGAAGATTAGTTTTCTAGGGCTAGTTTTCAAGTGAGTTGAAAGGTGACCTAATATAGTGTGGTAGTCTATGGCCTATTTGATACAATCTATGCTATTTGTATTAAATTTATCATACTATCTCTATATATTACTTTGGAATCAGAAAACTTTGTAAAAAGATACTTTTATCTCAAGTGTCTTCAGCATTAGCATTTCTAGAGCCATCATTTACTAACCTTTATTCAGTTTCAACAAGCCTTTATTAAGTACCTACTATGTTTCAGGTACTCCCCCTAATCCAGTGAGGTGACCCTATGAGCCATGTATAAACAAGAAACTCACACTCAGATTGGTGAAGGTTTTATCTGAAGTCAGATAGCTAGCCAGTGGCACAGCCTGGTTTGGAAGCTGGTGACATAGCTCAAGCCTTTCCTTCACCAAAGCTGTCTTTGGGATAATCATAACATTCCACTTTGCTAAAACTTGACCATGAGAACAGGATTCTTTAAACCCTTTCCCCAGAAAAAGGAATTTACTAAAACTGAGGAACTACAAAGAGATAATTAATTCTCTACTGATTTCCTCTGGAGGAAGTAAGAGAAGAGGGGGTTTAGAGTGCTTTGAGCAATACACTGGTACACCCATGCAATGAACATTACTCAGTGGGCTCATTTCACAGAGAGAAGAAATTTTCCTC